TCCTGTTCGGGCAGTTACCCAGTCAACGCTGCAACCCCACGCATCGCGGGTACAGGAAGTGGCTCCTGATCAGGTAACTCCCCCGAACAGGAGAGCCAATCTTGATGTGATCTTAATACATCCCCAGGTTGTCGAGAGCGCAATGAAGAGTTGTAAGATCGGGAAACGTCGTTCCTTGATCTTGGTAGGATTCACGCCCGCCACAAAGAAAACTGAAATTTAGGTTGGCCGAATTTGAGAATCAACCGTTGTTTGACAGCTTGCTCTGCTTCTCTTCATTTAGCATGTCGTGTATAATAGGGATTAATTTTAAGGAATAATCTCAAATTAATTCCTTACCTTTTCTTGCAGCGCCCACTATTGATCGATATTCAAAATTTCACTTTAGTCTATGAAAGCAGACAGAACGTAAAATCGTTTTCAAGCACTTTATAAATAGTAGCAGTCTACTTCTATGAATCGATTCTTCTATGATATTGTAAACGGAGATAAATTTTTCATATCGAAATCTGCTTCACTTCTTCCATGTTTTGAAATTCATTGTTTGAAAGTCTTAGCTTCACTTCAATATAATTTGAATAAAAACAGAAAAACTGATGTAACTAATCATAAATTTACGTTGGACTCGAGACCATAAAGTAATCAACAGGTTAATCATCAACGTGTAAGTGCTTAATTAAAGTTTCCTCAAATCAGTTTTCTCGATCATAAAGGCCCAAAATCAGTAACAATCATTTCCTAATTTATTTATTTCGAGTAAAAGCTAGGGAGTCCCGCGGAATGGACGAGTGCGATTAGTGGGCAAGGGCCAAGGTATCACGAGCGAAGACGAGAATGCCAGCTCTTCGAAGGCAGCTATCCGAAACTTAAAGACGCTCCGATTAGCAACCATCAATATCGGAAAGCTCACTGAACGACATCGAGAATTGGCGAATTTCTTGAGAAGACGGCGGTGGATACAGTCTGCGTACAGAAATTGAAAGGTGGAAAATTACGCGATAATGGAGATAGTTTTAACTCCTCTACCATGGCACAAGCAGCAGTCGGAACGTATTAGATATAGCTGTTGGCCTAAAAAGCAAGATGCTGCAGTTAACCTATTGTGTGATCGACTTATGAGCATAAAGATTGACACTGAGAGAAATCCTTCGAATTGTCACCGCCCATGCACCGCAAGCCGGGTGCAAGGAAGAAAAGAGCATGTTCTGCCACGAGCTTAACGATTACATCAAATTCATACAAAAAATGATACTCCTGTTTGGAGCAAACCTCAACGGCCATGTGGGGGCATACCTCAGCATAAGCCACTAATTCTAGAAATTAAATTCCGGCTGAACGACATAGAAGACCCATGGCTAACAAAAAAGCACAAATCAAGTGGTGGAAATTGAAAGGGAACTTTCCAGCCAAAAATGCTCTAGTAAGTACTCTATCGGAATACTGTGAAAAGTTAGAACAGTCATGACAACTTTGAAGCATAATTCACCGGATAACATTAACTTGATCGTACGAAGCCGGGAAGGAAGGAAATCGATAGAGGAACTTGGCGTGGGGCGATGAGGTTCAAACGGCGATAAAGGAAAGTAAATTATATAAGCAGTCATAAGTCGAAATTGAAAAGTGGTCGACAGGTGTACCTAAAAACAAAACACGTTACGAAAAAATTTGCCAAGAAAGAAGCAGGCATACTTAGAGGGCTGGACTCATGTGGGAGAGAGCGAGAATTATATGGAATAGGATAGCGCGAAGGAGAGCAGAGTCCGCAAAAGATTTTTGTCGTGGAACGCCTTGATGGTAACTGTTTTTCTACAAAAAGTTTAAGAGGCCTTCTATACTTGCCGTACACAGCACTGGTTCAAGTAGTAAAACCTATGGAATAACATTGGATAAACAGCAATAAGATGTGGCGTATATCCCGCTATCTTGTTTACGTATAGGATTGGGAAAATACAGAGACAGAACAAGTTAACTAGATACAGTCCCTACAATACCTCTCCCTTAATATGATCACTTGTACATCTTCAGTCGTAGACCCATTTCCAAACAATCCAACGGCTTGGTTGAGTTCCTGTAGGCGGTGCGATGACGACGGTTCGTTCCTCGGTCCTATCCTCATTACAGGTTCGTCGGTGTTCCTTCCGTAACGGTAAATCGGAGATTTCAAATCCTTGCTTCATGTATTGGCTCCTCGACGCACTTGGTTCTCGCATGTCTTCTATATAACTGTTCATCTTCGGTAAGCACGTCCGCTCCTCACAGAAGTGTTGAAGCTCCTTTGCTGTGAACTGTGTCCCCTTGTCCGACGCGACTACTCGGAGATTCCCGAATCGGGCAAAAAGTAACTTGAGCTCTCTCAGGGTAGCAGTCGTTAACGACGACGA